GTTTACCAGGAGTGGTGGGGGGAGGACCTGGGTTGGGGGGGGGGGGTGGCTGATAACACTAGAGGGTTCAACCTGCAGTTTACCAGGACGCATGGTGGCAGATTCATTATTATAGTACTGCAGGTACAACTGCAGTCATGTACACCACTTGAAACTGTTTGCATAGTTGAAGAGGGAAATATTAGATCTTCATTCAACCAGTGCCCAGAGATAAACGTGATATGCCTTTCCTTAGAGAAACATAGAAGCTGCATTTAGTAACCTGTTTCTGAAAATGCTAGTTAGCTTGCTATTAAGACTGTACACACCGCCTTCAATACTCTGAATCATTACTGACCTGGAAGTAGTAAGCAAATCAGAAAACTCAGTGTGCCTAAATTCCTTACTCAAAGTATTGAAGCCAAAGAAGGCCAGGCCCCTAATGCTATAGAAAGAGAAGTCAGCAACTACAGCCTCCATGTTTTCCTCCGGAAAGGTCACAGGTAATGCACATTCCAGAAGGTTCTCTACCAAACAATTTGTTTTTTTTTATTTTGGTGCCTTGGCTTTTAGTTTCAAATTTGTTTAAGTGCAATTGGGATTCATAACATTTCCATCTAGATATGTGGATGACAGGAACTTTCCAGAAGTGAAAGTAACCTAGAAGACATGGCATGATAAATATATATGCAATTATCTCCAGGTACGTAAAAATAAAAAAGGGGTTAAACCAATTTCCACGGTTTGCAAAAGTCAAAATAAAATATATACACAAACTTTTAGGCTGGGGTTTTAGCTTGAATTCAGTAACTCCAGAATGCCATTTATACAACAAAAGGAAACGAAAAAGGCAAGGAACGCCCCGTCAGACTGTGACAAGTGTTGACTTTGCAATTGTTAAAAAATATTTAGAGCTCATATCACTGCATTTATTACTCGTGTTACTGCAGCAACATTTCATTCGAAAAAAAATTACAAATATAAGTTAACAGATAAAAATAAAAAAATATGCTTTCTATTTTACAAAACATACAACATTTACATAGACCAGGGGTAGCCAAACTCCGGCCCTACAGCTGTGGTGAAACTACAAATCCCATGATGCATCTCTCTCTGGGAGTCAGGTCTGTGGCTGTGAAAATCTTGCAATGCCTCATGGGATTTGAAGTTCCACCACAGCTGAAGGGCCGGAGTTTGGCTACCCCTGACATAGACAGATACAGACCAGGGCATGTAAGATCCATGATAAATGTGGCTGTAAATTGTACTGTTATTTACAGGTTAAGAATGCTGAATCCAAAAGACATTATTGGAGACATATGGGGGTTTGAAAATAGACACATAGCCATACAGTCTCTTGAAGAATGTGGTTTTGTTAAGGTGGCTCAGGTAATTCACAGTCATGTACAAGTAGTCTTTCATCACGAATGGCCAGCGTTAGCAAAAAGCATTAGGATAGAGGATAGGCACTGCAGTTTGCTTTTGATGCAGTCTGGAAGTCTGTCATTTTCTCCATGTCTACAAAATACAATGATTTACTTCAGATTAAAATGTATTTTCTCCCAACATAAATTTTTCACCTGCTTTATTAGACAATCATATTTAAAGTGCACATCCTGCTAAAACGTTTTACTTTACTTGGATGGAGTTGGGGGAAGATTAGAACCCGTCAGGTTTTTAACTGCTTCTGGGTGACAACAGTTTCACTAGAAAGGAAGTGAAGAGAGAGCTCTGCAATAGTAACAGCAGAAATACATTTTTCTGGAGACTTGGGGAAGGGCAGAACCCTATTCAGTCTTGTATGTTTGTGTGCCTGCTACATATTTGCCCTCACTTCCCTGTCTGGTAAAACCACTGTCACAGTGACAATAAGAAAGGGGAAATCTCTAAAAACAACCCCCCTCCCCCCAAAAAAAATTATAACTGTTAAAACCAGACAGAAGTTCTAATCCTTTCCCACCTGGATCAGCCCATTCAAATACAAGTAAATAGAAATGCAAAAGCAGCTTGAGGTCAGAAGCATCTCAAACTGATCTTAAATGCACACCTGAAAGCATGCTGCATTTTCCCATCTGCACAAGCCCTTACAGTTCAGGCTTTGTATTTATGGTTTGTCCTTATAAATTAAAGTACAGAACTCCAAGAGGTCTATAACAGGGGTAAGCAACCTTGGCACTCTAGCTTTTGTAAAATTACACATCCCATGAGGCACTGCAAGACTGACAGCCACAGGTATGATGGATTTGGCGTTCCAACACAGCTGCAGTGCCAGGGCTGCCTCCCAATGGTCTATAAAAATAATTTCTGTCACTATATAAACATACAAATCTCGAGGGGAATCATTTCAGCTTCTGTACTGGCATAAACTTTTATGTCAGATTCAAAAACCCTCTTGGAACAAAATGCAAAAAAAAAGAAACGTGCACATCTTGCAGGATCCCTGTGCATATATGAACATCAAATACAGTGAAAAAGTGATCGTTTGTAATGCAGCATTGAAAAACATAGCACTCAAAATTTGTTTTTTAATATATAAAACATTAAAACATTCAGTTTATGCATTTTTTTTTTAAATACCTGGTTACTTGGCCACTTGGGTCCGTATAGATAATTGTAGAAACTCCTGGCTGAACTACAAGCTGAGAGCCATCGTTGAACTGCACCCATACAGCCCCTGTGCTTAGCTATTTACAAAAGAAAAAACTACAAATCAAGAAAATGTAACAGGAAGCTTAAGGTATTTGTGCTCTACAAGTGGTTTAAAAGACTTTTCAGCAGATCCCTAGTTACATCAAGAGTGATTTCATCGATCTCTAAATGTTTGACCAGTATTGCCTGACCAGAACTATTTCATTTGGAGCTATGCTAGCTGTGGACATTAGACAATGCTCACCAGGCTTAGACAAATCTTTTTAAGAAAACATGTTCAATTACCTTCGTCTGTTCACAAAATAAACATGGCACAGTAGAAATATAAAAATCTTACTCCCTGGTACAGTAAATGCATGTATGCATATTGCTTGATTGACACAATGTTTAACATTGTACTAATCCAACAGAAAACTAGATAGAATCTGATTGATTTGTTTCTTGCAGTGGTCATCTGCGAGCGGCTTTTCATATGAACAATTGTTACACTTTTTTTTCTTAAAGAAAACTTGGGATAAGGAAAATATAATTTCATTTAAACTGTTTACCGGGCACAAATAATCCGATTAGCAAATTCACTAAAATTACCTGAGATGCCCAGCCAACGTTTTTAACAAACACAGATTTAACAACCTGGCTTGGATCTGGAGTGTGGGTTTTAGTGGTATTGGAGGAAGGAGCAGTCTGAGCAGAAAATACAGATCCTTCATATGACAGCATCTGGAGCAAGAAATAAAAGTCAAAACTGCATAAACAAAAAAAACAAACAATAAAAAGAAAATATGGTAACTAGATTTACAGTTATAATACATCTAAAGTGGCGCTCCACGCAAGTCAAGTTTTTAGTTTCTCCTGGGGAAGAAAAACCCTGGCTTGACCCGTATCTAAGACAAGACCCAGGTATTCCAAGTGACAACTAGGTTATTCACTCATCCCACAAATACAACGAAGAAAGGCTAGTACTGGGGCTAGCAACTTGGTGAACACCAGAGGTGCAGGCAACAGACCAAAAAGCAAAAAGCAGGGCCACAAACTGAAAGTGCAAAAGACCCAAAGCAAAAAGTGTTGATATGGCTGGTGTGCTGTAAAGATGGGGATATGTATGTACACATCCGTGATGTTGACAGACACCAGGAAGTTTCCCTGGTGAAAAAGTTATCGCAGAACTAGTGGATTTCAAATGGAATGTCCGAGCTCGAATTAAAACATTTGGAGGTTATTTCTTTTTGTCAAGTTGTTCATAGAACTTATTAATACATACATACATATTTGAAAATGAAAGAAGCAGATTTTGTCTGCTCCAGTTTTGATAAATTCCCCTTAGAGTTTTCATATCCAAGATGGGGTGGATTCCCACTTTGGGAACAGATTGGAGTAAAACCCCTGGAACAGTCAGCTCTGCAACAGAAATTGAGCAATGACACCCTAGTCCAGAAGGCCTATCTGGGCTGCCTGGTGATCTGCTTATATGTGTAGTGAAACAGGAAGGTTGGAAGTGATGAGCTAAACTCTAGCTTGTAGCTAGAGCTGCAACAGTTATTCGATTAAGTCGATTAAAATCGACGATGGAAAACGTTGACAACGTTTTCCATCGTCTATTTTAATCGACTTAATCTAATAATTGTTGCAGCTCTACAGAATACCAATGTATAATACAGCGGCACACTGCTGAACACCAGCAGCTATAGAGGAACAACAAATCCCAGCAATAATATATTAAACACCCTGTATAATGTATTATTGCTGGGATATTGCTCTATAACTTATTATAGAGCAATAATTATTTTTGCTCTATAACTGGTCAGTGGTAATCTGCATTGCGCAGTATAATCATTATACAGCGCACTGCAGAATACCAGCAGCTATAGAGGAACAACAAATCCCAGCAATAATATATTAAACACCCTGTATAATGTATTATTGCTGGGATATTGCTCTATAACTTATTATAGAGCAATAATTATTTTTGCTCTATAACTGGTCAGTGGTAATCTGCATTGCGCAGTATAATCATTATACAGCGCACTGCAGAATACCAGCAGCTATAGAGGAACAACAAATCCCAGCAATAATATATTAAACACCCTGTATAATGTATTATTGCTGGGATATTGCTCTATAACTTATTATAGAGCAATAATTATTTTTGCTCTATAACTGGTCAGTGGTAATCTGCATTGCGCAGTATAATCATTATACAGCGCACTGCAGAATACCAGCAGCTATAGAGGAACAACAAATCCCAGCAATAATATATTAAACACCCTGTATAATGTATTATTGCTGGGATATTGCTCTATAACTTATTATAGAGCAATAATTATTTTTGCTCTATAACTGGTCAGTGGTAATCTGCATTGCGCAGTATAATCATTATACAGCGCACTGCAGAATACCAGCAGCTATAGAGGAACAACAAATCCCAGCAATAATATATTAAACACCCTGTATAATGTATTATTGCTGGGATATTGCTCTATAACTTATTATAGAGCAATAATTATTTTTGCTCTATAACTGGTCAGTGGTAATCTGCATTGCGCAGTATAATCATTATACAGCGCACTGCAGAATACCAGCAGCTATAGAGGAACAACAAATCCCAGCAATAATATATTAAACACCCTGTATAATGTATTATTGCTGGGATATTGCTCTATAACTTATTATAGAGCAATAATTATTGTTCCTCTATAACTGGTCAGTGGTAATCTGCATTGCGCAGTATAATCATTATACAGCGCACTGCAGAATACCAGCAGCTATAGAGGACTACAAATCCCAGCAATAGTACATTATAGTATAATGTACTATTGCTACATTCCTCTATAGCTGCTGGTATTCTGTACTGCGCCGCTGTATAATGTACTATATTGCACACTACACTCTTTTTTTACTTCCACCGCGCCAAGCTTGCTCCCGTGATGGACTACAATCTCAATAGAAACTAGTAGTCCATCACTGGAGCCTTTTTTTTTTATCCGATTAATCGATTAATCAAACTTAATAATCGGCTAACTAATCGATTATGAAAATAATCGTTAGCTGCAGCCCTACTTGTAGCCCCTAAAAACTAGCTCCCACACCCAAGAATCCAAGATGCATGGTGTGTCTACAGAGGCTAACAGACACTAAAGTGAGGGTGCACCTTCATGCAGAAGATGATTGGTCTGGGGCTCAAGCAGTGATATAGTGAAGGTTCTTGATTAAAGAGGAACAACAAAAATGGTAAGACTTTTCCCAGCAGAGATAAAGAAAAGATGTCCATCCTCCTAGGAGACTAGCAAAAAACAAAACAGGCATGCTAGTAGGAGGGGTTATCCTGGTTGGGCTTACAATTTTTTTTTTTTTTGAGAAAAATCTATAATATAAGCAAAGAAGGAAAAAAATTCTATATTTCACATTATTTTTTGATGAATGCATGTTTGTAGTTTTATGGCTGATGGGGCTAATGCATTGGTGTAGGACACCAGCATTAGCCTCATCAGCCGTAAAACTACCAACCCGTTACAAAGACAAATCCTTAAAAAAACAAAAACAAACAGTAGCTGGAAGTGCTGTAAGCTGTCTTATGTAGATTTGGTTGTTTCCATGTTAGGGAGATGTGTATGCACACTACCATACAGGTCATGAAAATCTACTTATGGGGTTAGTTTTGTACTCCTCCACAGGGACAATTCTACTTACGGAAGGATTGACGTTTGGTATCTGGTTGGGAGACGATAAGCTGCTAAAAACCCTGTTAGTAGAGCCCTGATCCCTGCGTCCGCATCCTGTCTCTCCAGTAGATGTTGGCTCTGTAAAGGGCTTTGGAGAATCTGTGGTTATTGGTCTCCTGCAAAAAGAGATCCTCTTAAAACAATGTTTCTTAACCCAATTTCTTAATGTATGGCTGTGTGCTATGCTTGTAAGCCTTACACTGTTGTATAGTATCCAAAATGGGTATAGACCCACAAACTATAAAATCCCATACACTGAGCACCCAGATAAAATATATCTCTGTAACCAAGTACAGTTCCTAACAAATCCTCCCTTCAAGGTGTACCCTCGTGGAATATCTGTCAGTATACTGTATATTTGTGTGTCCTTTTTTTAATTAGGTAACTATGTCCTTCATGGTCACCTAAACGTAAAATTCAAAAAGCAAGTGTATTTTTCTTTGTGCCAGCTCTAGACAAGGCACCTGTAGAACATATTAATGTAAATTCAACAGGTTTGGTTCATCAGGCAGGCTATTTAAATTCTACAAAACTAAATGGATGTATCTTACCTCCCAAATGTCACTGGGAACAAAGAAAGGCGGTCTCCTTTTTTCTCCTCAACAGTAACCGCTGATTCCAAGGAGAGGCAAACCTGGTGGCTCTGAAATACACACAGTAAAATAGCAGGATATTTGATATTTTAGATTAGCACTGATATCATAGACCACATAACTCTATGACCCACTCCATAGCCCTCCCCCAATAATTACTTTGTAAAGGAGGAAAGAGCATTTTAAGTAAGAATAGCCAGCCATGATGTCCACTAAAACAGAGATCAGTTTAGGCAAGCGCTGATACCCCCATTCTCAAGGGTGTTCCTAGCATTTTTGCTAATACAGCTGTCACAATGTATTAGCTTGTCCACTAAAGCAAAGCAATTTAATGGACTGGCTAGTGTGAACGGGCCCTGAAGCAGAAAGCACAGTATTTGGTAGCCCCACTGCAAGGGTTCATAAAAGTTTTACCCAGAGTGTCATTCAGTTTTATTGTTAAAGTATTCCTAAACCTAGCAACAAAAATGTAATATTGTAGGATGCCAGTCCTTAGATGTGGTGGTTGCATTAGTTTTGTCCCCCCTTTATTATCTGCTGATCCTGTTTGTGACTATGCTCACACGCTGTACTGTATCTATGCAGCTACCTCTGTTTCTTACCCACATGATATGGGGTGTTTTGCAATTCAGAGCAGAGAACAAATGAGAATTGATTGAGATTTCAGTTCATGGCTCAAAAGTTAGGAGCTCACAGAATTTCCAACAGATCAACTGTTTATTTTGTACTTCATGAAAGGAGAAAACTAATGCAACCACCCCATCTAAGCTAATATAAAACACATTTGTGTTCCTGAATTCTGAAACACATTCGAAAAAGTTCAATGTGTGTTTTCTAATAGCAAACTCTGTGCACCTTTCATTTTTAGCATGGCTTCATAAGAATAATCTAATAGGTACAGAGAGCTAATCATATTACCTACACATCACCACCTCATCTCCATTATTTAAAGTTACACTAAACTGTGGAGGTAAATCTTAAAAATGCTTTCAAGTACCTTTACTATTAAGAAAAATGTATCACTCAGCTGTAGATCCTCAAATCATCTCTGAATTGGTGCTGACACTGTCCTTTCTTCTGGAGGGTGGCTACTTTTGTTCCCCATGGTCCCTGTGTGTGTTGTAAGGTAGCCACTGCTCCAAGCTCACTCCTGTGATGGACTACAATCTCAATACAAACTAGTTAACTAAAAACGAGATTGAAGTCCATCACAGGAGCGAGCTTGAATTCATTTTTAGGATTTAACTCCTGAGGGTAGTGTCACTTTAATATACATAAAAGACAGAGACTCTTTCAAATGCACTAGTTCCTGCTTAGAATATATGCATTACGATTAATAATATTTAACTTATTACCTCATTGGCATGATCCACATAATATTTAATTTCATCGCCCAAGCCACTTATGCTGCTCCCGTCTTTCAGCGTGTGGGACTTCCCAGATTTCTCTATAACCCGAATGAGCTCTGCTGTTCTATGGATTTTAGCTCCTAATAAATATAAAACACAATTACTGCTTTAACTTCAATGTTACCATTACATAAAAGAAATGTTTCATATTAGCAGTGTTCTAAAATGCTAAAAGACCGGTCATTGACTGTACAAGAAACCCCTCAACAGCTCTATAGTTTTCTGATCCAATTAGGAAGTATATTTGGTTGATGGCGTCACTAGCCCTCCTATTTACATTGGTCAGGCCATCCCCTTGTTTGGATATTCTTTCCCATTGAAGCACATAGAACTCACCATCATGAAAGCAGACTTCTAAATCAGCATTCGGAGAGTTCTCCATTAACATACATTTTGCATATCTAGTATAGTAGGTCACTTTTGGAGTTTTGGACCTGACAAGATCTGTGAATTTTGATGCGTACTGGTATTTCTTCCAATATTTTTCTGATGGGAAAAAAAAACACGTTCAACTTATAAATATACAACTATCACCAAAAACAAAACCATTAAGAGTTTCCCTTAAAGGGGTTTAAGCAAAGCAAGAAATATTTCTCTTTATATTACATATTTTATATATACCTGGTAAACTGTCAAAGGTGTAACTCAGCAATGTCTCTGGGGGAGATGGAGGCCTGTCATCCAAGGGAAACCCTTTGCCTTCATTTGGATGGTACACATATATCTGAAGAGAAAACAGAATACGTGGTTACAGCATGTAATTAAAAATAATCAGACGCTGCGCAAAGTCGTTGTGCTGAAATGGACATTAGGTCACTAAAAAGTAAATTCTGGAGATCTCTATAATAACATACCCAAAAATAGTACATGAACTTTCTAAAAGTAATTTGATGTACAAGCAATTTTCTTTTTAAGCTTTGGATAGTGAAGGTAAGGGTTGAAACCCCAGGATTGTTATTAGTGCCTGGGTCTCCATTGTGTAGCTATTCCTTCAGTTTCTATTCCAGTGATCAGCAGCATTGTTGACAACAGTTAAAACTTGATTGATTTTCTAACCCTTCTGTATATGTACTACTACTGGAACAACTGGTATGGGAAATCCTCCTGGAAGGAGACACCCACAGGTGTGAAATCCTAACAGAGGGTTTAAGCCTCTGCGCACACACACTAAGTGCTGTAAGATGACATTGTTTTGTTGTATTTAGACACGCAGTAAAAATGTACTCTACCCAAATGTTTGAGCTGGTATGTGCCATTGCAGCTGTCACACTCTGGCTCTATAGTTCGAGAACTGAACGATCACAAACCACTGATCACTCAGCTCACTGCTTCTCCCTGCAGAGAACAGTGACAGTCAGTCAAGGCTGCCCACAGGGGAGCCCCCCTCCCCTCCAGAGCTCATTGGACGGCGGGCACAGCTGGCTCTGGCTCTAGAGAGACAGAGCCAACTGTCAATCAGGCAGCGGGGTGGATCCCAACAATATTGTCAGGATCTCTCCCAGTTGCAGCACGGCTCTGCGCTGTCAGCATACAGCAGGCAATGGCCCGCTATATGCAGACTTTGGGTCACAGGAGACCATTCCTGTGAGCCAAAAGAGAACTAAAAGCCAAACAAGGTTTGACTATAGTTCTCTTAATTTACAGCTGAAAACCTGCTCATGCTCTTCAGGAGGTAAGCAACAGCACATCTAAAGCAATAACTAGAAATGTGGAAGGTTAAAAAATTAAGACATATGCCTATGGGATTATACTATGTAAGATCTGATTTAATTTGAAATGTTTATATTATATGATTAACTTGTAAACCTTACATAATGCTTAAGCTATGTTCTCTGTTTTTGAAAATATAAAACTTAAAGAATGATAAAAAAAAAATAAAAAAAAATTAAGATAAGAAAACAGTAGAATCCAGTTATTGCACATCTGTAAAGTAACTTAAAAGGACAGTTGCCCTTAAACCCTATTCTCTTCACTGCTGGACATGACAGTCCCTACTAACTGAAGCTGTATACTGAGGATTTCCAGTTACAATGTATGGCTTTATTCAAATCAATAGAGACTGAGGAGATTTGTCAGAACAGGCTGTAAACACCAGAGGAGGTCTTCGAACAGGCTGTCAACACCAGAGGCCTTGGAAATAAGATAAGTAAGCAGCTGTTGTGTGTGGGTTAGCTTAAGGGATGTGGGAAGGTGAAGCAAAAGTTTATATGAAAGGTACACCTGTCGTTAAGAGCATTGGGGATATTCATACTAACACACTTACTAAATTGCCATCGCATGATATCCGCAGCACCTCTTTAACCCGTTCTTGAGAATTCTGCTCCTTTACAAACTCCATGCAAACTTCTCCAGTGTCCAGAATGCTTACCTATATAATGAAGAAACCTAATTAGAAAAGCATAAAAATATGGTGGATAGCAATAAAGCTAACAATGCAGTGCATATTTCACCAAGAATAGGTGGTAAAATTTAAATATGGTTAGAGCCAGGTCAGAAGAAAAACCTTTCTTCTGGTATGGGACAAACCTTCTCCCCCTTCCCTGGGCAGCTGCAAGAAGACCATAGGCCAAACTATGCCCCTGTATAAAATTGCATCTAAGCAAAGAGGTAGATCTCCGCTGTTTGAGCATATCTGGAGCCTATGGCTTGCATCTACTTCTACGGTCACAGTATTGACCTCCTAAGTAGTGTGCATATGTTGCTATTTATGCAAAGTGCGTTACACTTGTCACCCTGTGTCATTTAACCTCAGTAGTATACACTCCTTTGTACTATAGATATATATCTCTCTATCTATATATAAATAATATACACACACACACACATATATATACCCACAGGAATTGAAGAAATCTCTATGCGGTTAAAAAGAGAACTATGGGGTGAGTGAATTACACACATCCCCATAGTTAGAGCCGACGTGCAACATTGAAACTGTTGCACATCAGGCTCTATTGTTCGGGAAGTGAGCAAAAACATATCGCCGATCCGCTCACTACCCGATCCTCTCCAAGCAGAGAGTGGTGACTGTCAGCAGGGATTTCCGCTCCCCCATCCTCCAGCGCTGACTGGAGGGACGGATGAGGGGGCAGGCATAGCTGGATCTCAATAGTATTGTTGGCATCCAGTGACCCACAAAATAACTATGGTGGGGGGATGCACCCCATAGTTCTCCTTTAATGCTCTATTGATACTTGCAAGTGCACCTTATTGCTCAGGGCTTTACTCATGCAATGCCTACGGTAATTGTCATTCTGAGCATTTTGGTGGATCACACATGAATACTCAGCTGCTCTAAGGGAAGACTAGTCAGGCAGTCTGCTCTTTCACAGATCTGAAATTCAAATAAAAATGATCTGATGCTGCAGGCAGGATCTGAAATATTGGTCTTCAGCCCCAGAAGAGAAAACCCACATGTGCTGCTAGAGAAGAGTCCAGAGCAAAATGCTAGATGTAAGGTTTCCTGATTTCTAAGAAATAAACATTAGCAATCAGTTCATACATACCACCGCATTCTTGGTTTTCTGCCTGATGGGCTTCAGCCTCTCAGAGTTTAGTGGAAGAACGATGCTTCTCAAGTTGCGGTAACAAGGAACTTGTGGGGGAATTCTACTTTTTAAATGGTGCCGATTTTCTTCTGCTTTACGCTGGTCAGCAGCTGGAACTTTTCTGAGTCCTTTCTGTACATTTTCAAAAGAAGAGTCGGTGACTTTCTTCCCCTTTACATCACTCCAGTTATATTGTGGAGCCTCTGGTTTCATAGCTGGTTGGCAGTAATAATTTGCACCTGAATTATTGTTGCCGTTCATCTCCTGAGGTTTGTGTATCTGGCCTGAAATAAAAAAAATAATAGACGGAAATCAGGAACGGAAAGAAACAAAAAAGCCCACTGCAGTCCTGGACAATTTACATTCATTTAAGTAAATATAAAAACAAGATACTATATAATTACAAGTGAGATATGTAAATACAACAAACATTATTCAACCATGCATACATTTTACTTGAAACCTACCATTTAGTTGCATCGCTCCAAACCACTGCTGCACTGTCTCAGTTTGGCACCTCTCATCAGACCTTGTAGCAGTTGGCTTTGAAGGACAGAAGAAGTCAGAACTGTAGTAAAATAAAAAACAATTATGTTTTAACCTCAAGTGACAACTTAATATCAGTCTACAGGATGCACAGGGCAGTCATAGTGCAAGGGTATTGTAGCACAACATTTAATGTTTCCCTTTGCTCCATTGCTCGCATTTTTCTACAGCTCAATCTTCAGCAAAATGACCACAACGACACCAACATATAACAAAAGTCTTTCTTTGGGTTTTGAACACACAAAATAGTCACAAGCTAGGATTCAATTCTAAGATATCTGCACTGCATGGTACTAAAGGAGAACCAGTTATCAATGGGGATATGTAATTGGAATCCCCGCATATGAAATGTTACAATAGTGCCATCTTGGTTATATATACCACAAAGCTGCTGTTAGAATTGCATAGAAAGCTAAAGACTTTGTAAATTCAATTTTATTTTCTCTAGAAATCTGGACAGGGTTTCAGCTTTTAACCTGAGGCAGGAAACAGTTTACCCTCTGTGGGGGTCCTACAGCCTGACATTTCTACTCTGATAAGGAGAGGATACATAGGTCATCCTCTCTCCTACGGCGTCTGTACGCTGCTCCATAGACTTACCTTGTGTCTCTCCTCGTCTACCGGCCGAACATCTGAACTGAACATGCGCACGCCACAGACTCTTCAGATGTTCAGGCGGAAGCCACAGCGAAGACACAGGTAAGTTTAAACCTGTTTGAAAAGGATAGAGATATATATATATATATATCTATATATAGATCTCTACTGCTTGCTAGCAGTAGATATATGCAAAAGCATGTTGAGGGTTTAATAACCCTTTAACACTAATACAAAAATGGGAGAAATCTAAAGTTCTTATAGGTTCATTCTGAACAGATACCCTTTAAAGTGGATGTTTCGTTTTAATGGGGAAGGTTAAAACCCCTGCCAAGTGTTAACTGCTATCAGGGCTCCATCATAGAGATTTCCCTTCACTAACTGTCCCGGTGAAAATAGTTTCACCAGACAGGAAGTGAGGGGAAAAAGAAAGAAAAAAAAAAAGCTCCCAACAGCAACATAACAGAAATAAATGATTTGTCAATGGAGTAGTTGAAGGTTATAATACCCATCAGCCAATACTATTAGTTTTAGTTATCCCATCATCACCTTATAACGTATCCAAAATACACAGAAAAGCAATCAGCAACTCCAAACAAAGAGTTTGATTTAGAATTGTAACAACCAGCTGAAACAGTGTAATTTATCATATAAATCAGTAGACTGGTATATTCAAATTTTTTTTGTAGATATGCATCAGCCCATGTATACCTAAAGGAGGCAATCAATCTGATCTAGGATTCTCCTATAAAATCACTTGGTACAATTTCCTCAGTTGTTTACCAACTCTCCAATATTTATAGTACCTGTGTCACCTGATTACAAATGACATGTCCCACCCACAAACACCGCAATAATCCATCTAACACGTTATCTTTCCCAAATGTCCACATATAAGCCTGCATAATCAGCTCCATCAGGTATCCTATTGCATCTCCCACTTAAAACCAGAATACATATAATCTGCCAAAATGATATGAACAGAAATCCTGGTCCTTGCACAGTCCCACTACTGGCGAGGATGAATCCTACCGGTGGTACATGCTTCACACTTTGGAAAACACCACCGTGCAATAACAATCATAAAAGAACCAGAATGTTATGCACATCAGCTTCCCGGATGTATCCAGCTCTGATCTAAATGAAGCCAATGTCAATAGCAAAAGATATTCACTTTACCCATAGTAAAGAAGAAACGACATCCACCTTGCAAGGAGACATCAGAACTGATGGTGACTTTTGCCTATGTCCTTTTTTTTAGAATGACACACGATCTGAACATTTTAAGGTGCATTGATATAACTGAATGGTTACCAAATTTCCCCTGAGCTTTGGCAGCCATCTGTAGAAGACTACATACTCCCTAGTGGATAATTAGCAGATAACTGGGACCAGTTCATGTAGATTTGTGCTGCAAGCATATTACAGTTGAAAAAAAAATAAACGACTAGTTTCAAATTAAAATTTCCTAACACATTTTTTATTTGTTAAAAAGTCAGCTGATGCACTATATGTGACTCAAATATTTACATATGGTTTAAGAACATATCTTTCAAATGTTACCCAGCATAAAGCAGGTACCCCAAAGCATCCAAATGCAAGCTAACTCCTTAAGTCAAGGCTGGCAAGATGAATCACATGCTACCATCATAGCAGTTGTGGCAGTTTATTAACTGCACCTTAAGCGATTTATCGCGCGGTAATTCCCGCAATATCGCGGCTATTTACCACGTGCTATCGCTCTCCAATGCTTGGCAATGGGGCCTGCTGTCGCGGGCCGTGTGTCGCTACAGCAGGACCCTTTTTGGAGCGGATTTTGCCGCGATTCTAGCTTGCTCAATGCAAGCATTTGCGCGACAAATCGCGCAATTTGCGAATCGCGCAGTGTGAATGGGGCCTAAAAGGAGGACTGATTGGTTGCTAAAAGCGATACAAACAGTTCTTTCAGACAAATTGATGGCTGAAGGAGAAGATATAACCTTCAATCACTGTACGTAAACACATGCACATACCTTACCAGTAAATATTATGTTCTAGTAATATGTACTTTACTTACGGTGTATTTTCCTTCACTGGTGGTGAGATATATCTGTCCAAGGAACCATGCTTAGCGTGGTCTGAGAACATCTGAGGAATATCTCCATAACTATTTCCAGGGGATGAGGCAGAGGTCCTGTAACTAGTCAGTGGACCAGGTTTGCTCAGATTCTCCACAGAATGACACCTATCTGTGAAGCTGCCTGGTTTACTATGATTTTGGCTGTGTGAGGTACCCGTTCTATCAGAAGAGTGGGCTCTGCGGAGGTAGCGAGAGTGTGGCCTATCTTCAACAACAGCTTTTCTACCTCTTCCCTCAGAGAAACCATATTCCTCTTTCTGGCGGTTGTGGAAGCTTCCTTCATCTCCGGTTAAAGCATCACTTGGTTCTCGGTCCTTGAACTGGAAGATGTTCATTTTATTCGGGAGCGAAGGCCCAGATAAAATCCTCTTCTCTGGTAGGCGTCCACTAACACTGACCCCAGAGGAACTAGTAAAGCCTGTAGAAATTGTAGCATGGCCGCTATCAATGGAATCTTCAACTGCTGCCTTATCATCACATGTGGTAGAAGAATACCCCGTCATAAATGGGTGGTCGAGCACAGAAGAAAGACTTAGCCTATCTGCTGGGTTTTTACGCAACACCTTAAAAATGAGGTCCTTTGCCTCTCTTGACATAAAACTGGGCATTTCATAATCTGCCAAAACTATTTTATTTAGAGTGTTTTTTACTGTGTCCGTGTCAAAAGGTGGGCGGCCCACAAGGAAAGTGTACAACATGCAGCCCAAAGACCAGACATCAGATTCCAGGCCATGGGCGCTCCTGGTAGCAATTTCAGGGGAAATATAGTTAGGTGTGCCACACATCGTAAAGTGTTTCTCATTTGGCAGCTTGAGCTGGGTTGCCAAGCCAAAATCTGCAATCTTGACGTTCATGTCACTGGAGAGTAGAAGATTAGAAAGGGTAAGGTCTCGGTGTAAAATGCCATGAGAATGAAGGTACAGCATCCCTTTCACTATTTGCTCCATAAAATTCCAGGCTGTTAAAAAAAAAAAAAAAAA